TGTGATAAAAAAATGCTTTTATTTTAATTAGTATTTATATATATTATATCATACTCTGACAAATTAGATCACAATGTAATTGACAAAGAAGTTAAGCTTCGTCGGATTTAACGGAAAATAAGGATTCTTATTGATTAACTAAGATATAGAAATGAAATTGTCTCTTGTAATAATCGATTCATATATCATAGTTAAATTAGAATCATTTTTATCGCGGAAGGAAAATTCTATGTTCATCTTACTTTCATTCATCAGTCTGCTATATAATATGAAAAAACTATTATCATTCGTTCCGAACTCATTAATAACTATTTTTACATGGATGATAGTAAGAAAAATGGACTTTGAATGCATCCAATATCGGATCCGAAGAATCGCTACATTTAATTTGACATTAGACGTTGACCTACGATTGTCCGCATAGAAAAAGATCATGACTTACACAAGAATAGCAATTTTTTTAATGTGTTTTTAAGTTCTATGAAATAATTTTATACTTCATGTTTTTTCTTAATAATAATTGTTCCGCAATTAGAAAAAGAAGTAAAATTTTGAAAGTGGTCTTTCTTGCTTTAGATACATTATCAATCTCTTTTTTTCTTTTTTGAAGAATTATTTCGATATTCATATAGTAATATCGAAGCAAAGCCATCAGATCATCTAATATTGTTCAACGTGGAATAATGATTTCCAGGAGGACTCTATTCATAATATCAATAAATTAAAATAAATGAACTTTACTAAGTATCGAAAAAGCAATAATCGATAATGCGTCTTCAATGTCATACAAAAAAAAGAACTATTGATTAATATACTTTCCATAATAAAAAGATAATACTTGAGAAAAAATACATAAAAAATATTAAAAATTTAGTAAGACGTTATATTCTTATTACTTTATTTCTTTCTTTCCAATGATATTTTTCAATACAATAAGTATTCACAAGAAGGTAATATCCTCATAAAAATTAGTGAAAAACATCAAAAAAACATCACGTGGTTGTTAATGCAAATTTTTAAAAATCAATTTGTATATTGTCTATAAAATCGAGATATTTTTCTCTATTATTTCTTGCATATATAAATCGATCATATTTGCATTAATTGTACAATACAATACTTGATGTGATCTATCATTGAAAGAATATAACAATTCAAGTAGATGTATAGACAAAGAGCTACTGGCCAAATTAGCTAGATTTGAAATTTTCTTTGACGGACACATTGTCAATTATTTTTCTCGATAGCCGACGAAGCATTATTGTAGTAACTAATTTGATCTACTTAGCAAGCATGTCCGTAGGAACAAGATGACATTAACCATTAGTGGTGTACATATGGATAACAACGTCAATCTATTGCTAACTTGAAAACTTCTCGTTAATCCATTTACATAAAAAATGTATGAATGAATATATAATATAACAAAATAATGTATTGTTTGCTTTTTTTTTTATTTTATAAAACAATTATGATTTATATTTTGCCTTGAGAGAAAAATATATGCAATAAAGAAGTATATCACAATGTATAATATGTTAGCATCCTGCCTCTTGTCATCGTCACTACTTTACTTTACCGGTTTCTCTTTTTGCCTATATTGACATACTGAGTATGTTTGGCAGGAGCGAGAGAGAGAGAGAGAGCACTATCGACAAACATAGTATAAAGAGAAAAAAAGCAAGCAAGTGTCAGACTTTCTTGCTTTCCATTACCGTTACTGTATGTAGGAGCCGTCAACTATGATAGTGCATATTATAGAAAAAAAATGCAAATAATATTTTTTACGAAATAAGGCATAGCGTCGGTAAGTTATGGAAGAATATATTTTTAATAAGAATTTCTTTACGATTAATTTCTTTTGTTAATAGAAAAAAAGAAAAAGAAAAAAAAAATTAGATGATATTGAATAGACAGACCAAATGAGATTATAACAATACATATTGATTCTTAATAGAACTAACAATAGATGGAGAACGACTGAATGAAAATGAGAAAGTGATACAAAGCATGTTGTTGATCAATGATCGCGTGATCTTTACTTTTGTTATAAGAAGACTGATGGTTGATGACGTTTTTTTTGTCGTTATATTTTAATAATAAGTCAGCTCGTTATGTTCTTGAATTGATAGAGAATAGAAAAAGCAATAAAATTCTTCTAGAATTAGTGAATACTTAATGTTTCCATAAAGTTATATGTATGTTATTCAATTTAATATGAACGAATTGCAGGTTTAGTCGCCTATATTTTTATGGATTGATAGAATTTTCTTTTTTTCTTCTAATATATTTATTAGGAATATTACTTGTTGTACTAATATTCATCTTGAACAAAGTTAGAAAAAAAGAAAGGGGAGTAATAACTTAATAGAATGTAACAGTGTAGGATGTTGTTTTCATTTTCTTTTTTTCTGTCATATTCATTCATTCATTCATTCATTCATTCATTCATTCAATCTATATAATGAATTTAGTTGATAGGATAAAACTGTCGACAAAGACTAAGACGATGAGCCCAAAAATCACAGAAGCGTTTTAATGCTTCTCGTTAAAGCTTTTATCATTTTCTTCCATTTACTAATATTTTCCTTCTAATGATTGTTTTTCTTGAATTTTCAAAAGAAATTTTTTTGTTGTATCTCTTTCAGATTTCTGATCATTATTAATATAAAATTTATTTATAATTTGTTATGATTGCTTTTATTTATTAATCAATTATATTCAAGTAAGTCATAAGTTATTAAGCAAATTGCTATTATTTGTTGTAAACAAAAACAAGATTATTCAATAATCTAGATCTAATTGAACTAAGTAATGATGATTATTGTTCAGTTTAATATAAATACAATATATATAGACTATCACAAGACTTTATCTATTCAAGTAGAAAACTTATTCATCTGTCCACAAAAGTATTCTTCTTTGTTAAAATATCACTATATGTTTTTTGTTGTCTACAAAAAATGCATATATATGTTGTTGATGTTGCTACTATCATGCATGTTAAGTTTTGTAAGCGACGAACAAGAATGGCTAACGGTTCTCGGCCTATTGGAAAGATAAGAGTAGTAACAGCAACAAGAATAATAGTAATAAGCAGCTTTTCTTCTTTTTTCTGTCTCTCTCTCTCTCTCGCTCTGTTTCTGGTCGTCATCCCTAGAGAGAAACAGTTCCGTAGTAACCGGATTAGATAAATGCCAGAAGAACAGAACAAATCGATGAATGCGTGCAGCGCATGTTATGGTGTTTTGATTGTTCTCTTTTTTTCTTTTTATCTTCCATTGTCATAATAATACTACCAGATTTGATCAGTCTAATACAACAATGACATATCTATCGAAATGTAATGTAATCATAAGTTCTAATGAACCTTATTGTTCAATAGATAAGTGTCATACGCATGTCTTACCATTATGTGACATTCTTTGAAGCAATATGGGCAAAAAAAGATGATATATACTAAAACAAAAAAATTGTGACATTACTTCAATAGACAGAATAAGAATTAAATCCTTCAAAGAAGCTATAACCACATGCACATATTCATAAAAAAGAAAAAAGACGAATATTTTTTTTAATGCTATTCTATTTTGTATATAATCGAGTTAGATTGACAGATAGTTCTGACATAAAACAGTAACCTTTGAGTAAGTATAATGTGGACAAATTCATCTTTTTTTCGCGTAATCGAATTGCAATGCACCATATGTTTGTTATATTATAGGCATATCTTACTGTTTCTCGTCCTTGTTAATTAGACACTAAAAGATATTTATAACATCAACAGTATTAGAAAACAATCGTTGTATACGATTGAGATTTTATTATGCTCCAGTTATTTACATCTCGTTTGTACTGAAATACCGCTAACGTATTTCCTTTTGTCTTTCTAATCAAAATAATTATTAGATGCATTCCAATCTTGAAGTCAGTTCTCCGCCTTTAATTATTACTGTTGAAATCCTTCGAGAAGCTTCAACGGATGTGAAAGTCAATTAATAATATTGTCAAAGGATGAATATATATCTATATCGATATAGATATAGATATATACATAACGATTGAGCTTTTCCAGCTGTCAACCACAGATGATGTATCAATGGATTAATAATATTTTCCTTTTCAGTAGAAAATCTTCCTAATGAAAATACCAAGTAAACATTGATATGAACATTGGAACGAAGGAGAATAGTTGTTGCATGTGGAAAAATACCCTAGAGGTATACAGTTGTTCTTTGGTTTTGCCTAATTTTGTATAGTAATTTGTCTTTTTTTTGTTAAATATGAATGTATATAAATAGAAAATTGGATATAATTGTTTATATTTGGTGAATGATAATCGATCTTTTTCTTTTTTATTAAGTGGGTATTGGTCAAAAGAAAGGAAATGTTTGTCATATTTTGCTCTATATAATACACGTGTTCGATAATGACATTTGATTGCTGAAAAAAACTGAGCGAGGTCAGAAAGAAAAAGAACCGAACAAAAATTTTATTATGTGGACATCGTTAAAAATATGTACTATCAATCATGACGCGTCATTCATCGAAAAAAAAACGATTTGCGTCGTTGTTCTCTCGTAACATTTTTTTGCGTTCAATATTGTCTATTTGTCGAGAGATGAAATTGTAGAAGATGAAACATCTGACGACGATTATCGATCGGCGCCTCTAACTGACTATCATTCTCATCACTATCGTCGTTGCCTTTTGTCGCATTCAGTTTATTTATCTCTATTTTTCATCGAACGGCAAACGGCAAAGAAAAAAAGTTTGTTGCTTTTGCTGTTATTTTATATTTAGCTCCTATGCATGTTGTATATGTGTGTCGACGACTCGTCGCATTATTTATTGATGTCATAATTGAAACGCACGAGGGACGAGCAAACGACAACGAAGAAAAAAAAAAACTTAAGCCGAAAATATAGATTGATGGGCAACTAGTTATATTTAATGCGTATGATCAATTAGTTTTTTTGTCCACTCTTTTTTTTGCAACAATGGATCCCGATAGACATAAACAAGAGCAACAAAAACCAGTTCACCAACAACAAAGACGTTCAATTGTTGAAGGCATGGCACGTACAGGTATTATTGTTCTTGATGTTTAATCATAAGAAAATATTCTATGATCATAATATAAGAGACTATTTGTTAGAATAATACACTTCATACTTACTGTCATGTCGAGATATTAATAAAGTTCTTTTTCAACATTGATGATTCAATATGCAATTGAATCTTCCACTTAAAGAATAAGAAAGAAGGACATGATCCTGAACAATATACGTCTCATTCTCGTATTCGAATTCACTATTTAGAATACTATTTGTATGAGATCTACAAATATCATATATTTTATCTATTGTGTATAATGTGAAAATTTGTCTTTGAAGTGTTTCTTTGTTTGTGTTTTTGCACTAGTCACAATGCATAAAAGACAATGATAGATGAACTATGAAGAAAGTTTTCTTTAGACTTTTGTCAACACGAATATGAATATGATCAATGCGTGTTGAATATATGGTTGATTTTTCTTTTTTTTTTTTAATTAAAACTTGGTATTACAAATTATGACAAGATCATGATTTTTACTTGTACTTTGATATTACAAAAAAACTAAGAAGAAAATCAATAACGTCATAAAATGTTTTCTTTTGCTTAGATTTATGAATTAGATTAGTTATGACTTTTGACTTCATGATATTCAAGATTTTTACTATATAATAAGTAAAATTTAGTCAAAAAAAAATAAAGCACATCCCTTTTTTTTCTCGTATTCATGTATTATAAATCACAGCATGTTCAAGAGAAAAATAGTTTGCCTATTATCCATATCCGCTTTTGTTAGTCTCATTAATATTAATAAATTGAAATAAAAATAAGAATTATAGTTGCTATGCCCTCGAGCATAGAAATTATTATCACTTTACAAATCAAAAAAACCAAATCAATTATGTTTCTTGTTATACAACATATTGATTCATTAAGACAAGATTGATGTATATGTATGTCTATGACAAGCTAGAAATAGAGAAAAACCTTCACCGTTATTGTAAGGTCTTTGATGATGTCATATCAAACATCAATAACAGAATATCTACAGTCAAAAAAAAAAGCGTTAGGAAAGAAAAAAAAAGACGGATAACAGTTATATTCTTGATTCGCCATTATTACTATTGCTCGGTTTTCTTTTTCTTGCATAGCAATTTCTCAATACTAATATCTTGCTTTTCTTCTTTATTTTTATTTATACAGCACCAACTTGTGCTGCTTTCGTCCAAGCAATAAGTCTCTTTCGTGAAGTCAATTCAACTAGTGAAACACCTTCATTAACAGAAGAAAATATGGCATCAACAAAAACTATGCTAACTGATACAGTTCGTAGTTCTTCAATAAGAAGACCATCAAGTCCACCAGGAATATTTATTGAAAAACCACAAGCTATTGCACGACGTGGTGCTTTACGACAAAAAAATGTTTATACAGTTAAAGATCATCAATTTATTCCAAGATTTTTTAAAACACCAACATTTTGTTCTCATTGTCGAGATTTTATTTGGTAATTATTTTATTTTTTATTATTCTTATGCAATTCGTTTTTGATTGTTCTTTTAGGGGCTTTGGAAAACAGGGTTTTCAATGTCAAAGTAAGTCATATTTAACGAATAAGCCAAAGAGTATAATATATTATAAACCTTATGAACTATTCTTTTTTTTGAAAGGACATTCATCACATATTACTTTATTAATAGATATGAATACTTTATTGACTTAAGTCAGAAAAAGAATATTTCTATAAATGAAGAAAAAAAGCTATTCAAATAAAACTAAATATTTCCTGACATATATTGCATACAAGAAATAGATATGAAAACGATTGACAATATTCATAATAGATAATTGATCTCATTAAAATTATGAATATAAGAAAAATAAAAAAAAGTACAACATTTATTATTTAAAATGACTTTATTTATTGGTTAAGAACATCATTTGTATAAAAATTTAGTTATTTCTTTGTTTTTTTTTTGCAGTTTTAACTTTATGTTGTGTCTCATTTGATAGAGTATTAATTTGTTACCGTTTAATATCACTATGTATTATCTATATTTCAAGTCTTAATACATAACTATTTAGTTATAATTATATAGGACATTAAAACTACTATTTAGACAACGTATAACATATATTAGTTAGTAATTATTTATTAAATAATAGGTTATGACAAATGAAGAAGTCTTTTTATTTTGTGGAGTATGATAGGATCGTAACATACATTAGTGTGCTTGACTGATCTTTTTTAGACTTGATGATTCGGATGTCTATTTTTCATAAGAGATCAATATGGATTACAAAAATATTTTAACTGTTGAACTACAAAAACATAGAGAAGATGAATGTCACGAAGATTATAATATCGATCAAAAATATAAAAATCAACGAGTTTTTGGTCTTTTTCTTCTACAATACTAAGCATTCAACTCAAATCCAATTAGTGACATGCATAGTCAATGAATTTTTCTATTAAAAGCATTCCATACGGAAGTTTCATAAATGAACTATGAGAGAAAAGTTTCAAGGCTAGATGACTGTGTAAGAGTATCACCTTACGGAGCATAAAATCTTGAATGCAATGAGGACGTATCACATTTCCTACCGCCTTCCCTACCGTCTTCCCTTACAAAATTATAAAAAGTTTTTAAACATGAGTCTTTTAGCCATGCTATGATAAGTTTCACTTTGTCATGCTAACAAATTTTTCAGGAAAGACCGCAGGAAATCTGACAAATCATCATTATATTCAGAACATTATGCCCTATAAGATGATACTCGTACTCAATCTTCTAGGATTTGAAAACTAATGTTTATTGGCTGTTCAAACCACTATTTAGATTTTAATTAAATGTTTAAAACTTTACTTAAAATAAAAAATACATTGATCTTGTATTTTTGACAGACTTTCTGTTTTTCTATAATTGATATTCAGATATTTTCAAAAGTCAACAATAAAATAAAATTATAATAACTTTTCACTGATTTATATAAGCTATTCATTATTTCATATGATTTCATCCATAATTACTGTTGTTTCAATACATTGACATCAAAATAAAAGCATGAAAGTATATATTTCGAAATATTTACAGAAAATCGACGCATAAGAGTTGTTATGAGGTCACTGTGATCACATTATCGATTTATATTCAATCATCAACAAGAAACTTTATATAAGTTTTAGTGCACAATATCCTGTTGACATATAAATAAGAATCGATGATATGACTATAGTGACCCCATAACAACTCTTATGCGCTAGTTTTTCGTAAATATTTCGAAATATAAACTTTCATGCTTTTATATTAGTGTCGATGAGTGGTAAAAAATTGTTATGGATGGAATCAAAGGACAGAAAACTTCTAAGAATACCCTATAAAAAGCTCATGAGAATCATTGAAGTGTTATTGCAGTTTTATTTCCTTGCTGACTTTTGATGCATACTGCATTCTATAGTATCAATTAATATAATGGTGATGAGTTGAATAGCTCGAAGATTTAACTAAGAATTTAATCCTTTCATAACGACTGAAATTTGCTAGAAAATAAAACTTTTCGAGCCATTGTTGTAACTTCTGACATGCAATGATTTTGGACAAGTAACTAAGAGCCATTTGTCTATTATTATCCATGAGATAACATGTTGATTATGTGGTGACATACATCAACTTATTATATATGAAGATTTCAAGCAATAAAACGCAAGAGCTCTATGTCAGGCCGATCTTCTATACAGAGCTAAAGCTATCCAGTATGAGTTATAGGGAAGATATTGAGGTATTGAATTTGCCACTAGGCGGCACCTCATACTGCAAGGCAGGAGTATCCCTTTTTTTCTTCCTTATTATTCTAACTATTGTATTGTTTTGATAATGATAAAAATAATAATAGGACCGTTTTAGTCGCAATAAAATTTGTTAAAATTGATCTTATCTTTTGTTTCTTTTAGTTTGTTCTCTTGTGGTTCATAAGCGTTGTCATGAATTTATTTGTTTTACTTGTCCTGGTGTTGATAAAGGAGCTGATTCAGATGTAAGAATTTTAATTTTATTTTCCAATAAATAATTAGTTTTTTTTTTCTTTCTTTATAAATTAGGCTCCAAAAAATAATCATAAATTTCAAACACATACGTATACTTCACCAACATTCTGTGATCATTGTGGATCTCTTTTATATGGTCTCATACATCAAGGTCTTAAATGTCAATGCTGTGATATGAATGTTCATGAAAAATGTCGAAAATTTGTACCAGATTTATGTGGGCTTGATCATACAGAACGTCGTGGTCGAATACGTTTAAGTGTCAAATATGAACATGAGAATAAATTAGTTATTGAAATAACTGAAGCTAGAAATTTAATTCCAATGGATCCAAACGGTTTAAGTGATCCATATGTTAAAATAAAATTAATTCCTACAACACCGGATATAACAAGAAAACAATTACAAAGTAAATATAAAACAAAAACAGTACGTGCTACATTAAATCCACAATGGCTTGAAAAATTTACAATGTAAGTTTACATATATAAATATTAAAAACGAATAATTTTTGAAATAGTGATTTAAATGATGATGATAAAGATAAACGATTATTAATTGCTGTTTGGGATTGGGATCGAACATCGAGAAATGATTTTATGGGTTCACTTTCATTTGGTAAAATTTTTCTTTTTTTTCTTTCATAGTGAACGAAAGTTTAGAGCAATTGTAGTTTAAAAAGGTTTTTTTCTCGATGCTATTAGCCAAGATGACTCTGATAACATATGGGTATAGTTAAAAGGATTTTCTATTAGAATTGATAGACTCCAATAAAACTGCTTGGATGAGGATCTGTAGAAAACCAAAATTTTTTAAATCAGTTCTGTGGCTTCCATTCGATTTTTTTTTGGAACAGATTTTATTTGATAAAGCAAAATGAGATGTTTCCGACCTCTCTATGAACTTCCTTCATTGGACTGCATTCAATCTACAGAAGGCTCTCATACGTCAAACATCGAAATTTCAATCAGAGCACTATAAAAAATAGTTTTTGGGTCTTCAGTTAATTAAATGCACGTTATAGAGAAATCAGAGATTTGACTCTATCAAATAGAATTGATTCCCAAAAGTTTCAAATGGAAGTCGAAAAGCTGTTCTTGAGAATCTTGATTTTCTACAGGCTCTTATCTAAGAAATCTTTTGGAGTCTACCAATTCTAATAGAGAATTCTTTCAATCACATGAATATTTTTTTTAAATTCTTGCTAGCTATTACTGTCAAGAAGAAAACCGAAAAATATAACTGCTCTAAACTTATGTTCGCTATTATATTTTATGTTTTTTATCTTGAAAAGGTGTTTCGGAATTAATGAAAGAATCAGTTCAAGGTTGGTTTAAATTATTAAGTCAAGAAGAAGGAGATTTTTATGCTGTACCCGTATCTAGTGAAGATATAAGTAAAATGAAACACTCTATTGGAGTATGTTCAATTATTTCTTTGTTTCTAAATTCAAAAAAATAATTCATTTGCTTCATTCTTTTAGAGACAAAAATCGGGTGTTCCACCACCTACACAAACAGGTGATATAGGAATAGATGGTTTCGAAAAACCATTGGTACGTCAAATATCTCATGCGGAATCCATTAAAGAAACAGATTTTCATTTTATAAAAGTACTTGGTAAAGGATCATTTGGTAAAGTAAGTTAAAAGAAAAGAAAAAAAATTTCTTTATTTTAATAAATGATGAATTTTTCTTTATATATATAAAGGTTGTATTAGCTGAACGTAAAGGATCACCAGAAGAATTATATGCAATAAAAATATTAAAAAAAGATATTGTTGTACAAGATGATGATGTTGAATGTGTTATGATTGAAAAACGTGTATTATTATTACAAGATAAACCAAGATTTCTTGTTCAACTTCATTCTTGTTTTCAAACAGATGTAAATATTAAAGAATAAAAAGAAAACAAAATAAAATTCATTTTTCTTTTTTTTTTGTGTCATTAGGATCGATTATTTTTTGTTATGGAATTTGCTAATGGTGGTGATCTTATGTATCGAATACAACATGAAGGAAAATTCAAAGAACCAGTTGCTTGGTAAAAAAAAATTATATTTTTTCAATAAAATAAAAAAGCAATATTTGCATTGCTTATTAATAGATTTATTTCTTATTTTTTTGTTATTATGAAGTTTATAGGATTTGGAATATATGAGATAAACAGACTCGATAACATTAGACAGAAGTATAACAACAGATATTCAATTATTATTTTTTTTTTTCTTAGTGTATCTTAACATTTATTAATATAATCAGAAGATTACTTCTAATAATAGTTTTTCCTTATATTTATCGAATGGTTGACATTTTGTTGAAATAATTCAATTGAGAGAATAGAAAAAAAAACAAGCATTGGCAGATTAACAGATGTCCGTCGAATAATAAGATTAGATAGAATTTTGTGATAACAAAAAAAAAAAAAAGAAAAATAGCGTAAGAAGAAAAAAACAAACCTTGAAATGATATTTCTGTTTGTTATTTTACTTTCAATGAGTTAACAATAGTATAATATTAACTTTATTTCATTAGTTTGTTCTATCTTTTGTTTCTAAAATATTGTCATAAAATACGTTGAAGATTTGCTTCTTTTCTATATATGGAAAAAATAAAAAACAAATATTCAGTATTGTAAACAGAAGAGATACTTTCGAATGTGATTAGAGAAAATCGCTAAACTAACTGAAATATTAAAACATAACACGATCATTTTTATGACTACTACATTTTATTATCTACTTGAAAGTTTGTGCCGATCCGAATTGATAAAATAAATATAATCTACGAAGTTGTTAATAGCTTATCATAGACATATGAAGATTTAGTTTTAAGAAAAACAAATAGACAAGCAGTTAGTTTGAACTATATATGACCTAGTATTTTCTTCATGGTCTTATTATTCTTTATTTTCGATTCATTTTGAAATCATTCATCATTATTCAGTATTCACACATATATATATACTTTGAGTTTCTCTAAATTAGAAAATCAATATGCTTATGTTTGATTGATTTCATCGATGTACTGTGCTCACGAAAGAACATATCCTAGCGACAAACACCCTTTAGTGCTAAAATCTAGTAGACAACAGGCAAATGACCTTACTAAATTCGAATATACGGGTTTTTCATACTAATAGACCTCTAGAACAACGATTTATTGCAGTGAAAAGTTTTTTTCTGTCAAAATACTTTTTGATCTGTTCAAATTGTAGAGTGCGTTGAATTACTCTGATTTTAACATGTTACTGAATAGAAGAGTCACCCTCATACGTACATCCTCAAATATCAGTCATCTGAAATGGGCATAATAAATTTATAGGCAAACATTAAGCCTCATTGAGATTAGATTATATTAAAGTGACAAGTTATTGTCACTTACGTTGCGTGTGTGTTAACAAAGTCTACGACCCTTCTAAAATAGTCAAAAAAAAGGTTTTTATTCATAATTTCATGTGCCCCTACAATCTAAACAGATCAAAAAAAAGTATTTAATTAAAAAAAGATTTTCGCTGCAGTAAACCAGTTTTTCGGACACTCAGATCTATGAAAACTTAGAAACAGAAGGGATTCTGATCTTTGGATTCAACGTGATTGATCACCTATCGTCCACTAGGCTTCAGTTCTAAAGCGATTTATCACTTTGGTATGTCTCTTCATTGGTGTGCTTAATCCATACTTGATAGGATATGATTGTTCGATTAAATGTTATCGATGCATAATGTAACAACGAACCGAAATAGGATTCCAAGCAAGCTTTAGGTAGTCGACGAATACTCACATAACTAATAGTTGGATATATATGGTAGATATTATCAGTATATCAGAAAGATGAACGACTGCATATAATATTGGGTATTTATAACAATGTGATGAAAATATTTGAAGTTCACGTCGACTCTTAGTAGTCTTGCCGAGACTGAGAAATTAATAAGAGATGTGAAGATACTTTCTTAGGTTTAACCATTCTCCTAATAGAAATGATCAATGAAATTATTTTTTAGTTTTTATTCGGCTGAAATTGCTGTTGGCCTCTTTTATTTACACAACAAAGGAATTATTTACAGGTATGATTAAAGTTTAATTAATAGATATAAATTCATTTTATTTTGATTTTTAGAGATCTAAAACTCGATAATGTTCTTTTGGATAAAGAAGGACATATCAAAATAGCTGAGTACGAAAAAAACAAAAACCTTAATATATGAATTTATTTTGATGATTTTCTTATAGTTTTGGAATGTGTAAAGAAGGAATAATAAACGACGTTAGAACATCAACTTTTTGTGGAACACCAGGTAAATCATTATTTTTCTTTTGTTTTAAAATATTATTATTTCTTTTATTCTTTTAGATTATATTGCTCCTGAGGTTAATTATGAAAAATTTTCTATTATAAAATTCATACATAGTGATTTTTATTTTTAACTATTATCATTTATAGATTATTTTAAATCAAAAGTATGGTAAAAGTGTTGATTGGTGGGCATATGGCGTTTTACTTTTTGAAATGCTTGCTGGACAACCACCATTTGATGGCGAAGATGAAGAAGAACTTTTTACAACTATTAAAGATCGTAATGTATCTTATCCAAAATCAATGTCATTCGAAGCTGTGAATATTTGTAAAGGAGTATGTGAATTATTTTTTCTTTTGAAAATTTCAATAAAATTTATCTTATATTATAGACAAAAAGAATAGAACATAAAAATACTATTGCATTATGAATTTTTAGAATGGATCTATATGGAGAGTTAGAAATAGATAAATAGAATACAAATAACTGACAAAAAATATCTCGTATCATCTGAAATCTCATTGAGGATATCAAAGTACGGCTCGATTCAACGAATTCTATCTTAGATGAAGCATAACATTCATTTAAAACCTATCGTACAAGTGCCATATCAGCTAAGGGTACGAAATCTTTTCCGTGATAAGTAATTAAAAGAGTCTCTGCAATTTGTCTTATAGTCATTTCTAATTTATTATTAATTAAGGTTATTCTAATTGAAAAGTCGTACTTTGGCATCATAAAGGTTGATTTATCTGTAATTAAATTATAGAATCAAGAATTAAATACCACCATAATCTATAAAAAAAAACGCTTTTTTTTTTTTTTTTGATTAAACGTGTTCTCAATTGAATATCGTTTAGGTTATTATGCTCTCTCTTCGACAACATTCTATTGATCGATAAATAGTATCAATAATGAATGTCAACTTATGTTAATCACACTTGAGGCTTTCGAATTACACATAAATTTAATTGACAATTAATGTCGAATTGAGAATCAATTAAGAATGATCTATCTACGTAAGAGACAAATGGAAAAAAGATGTTAAAGAAAAAAACCCTGGATAAAACTGAGATAATTGCTTCATCATAAATCCAATAAACACATTCTTAATTCTTAATGTATCGTTTTCTTTTTCATATATCTATTTTAGTTAATGACAAAAAATCCTCAAAAACGTCTTGGTTGTCATCCATTAGATGGTGAACGTGAAGTAAAAGAACATTCATTTTTTCGTCGTATTGATTGGCAAAAAATTGAAGCACGTGAAGTTCAACCACCATTTAAACCTAAAATAGTATGTATTAAATATTTCAATGTATATATATATAGATAGAGGAACATTTAATTTCATTTAAATAGTTTAAACCATTATGTATTCTCACCTTTAGTAATAGTAGTATTGGTGTTGTGTATTGTCTTGTTTTAGAACAATCCTCGTCAAGCGGAAAATTTTGATAAATGTTTTACAAACAATCCATTTAAAAAGACAGAATGTGATAAACTTGTACTTGCTTCAATTAGTGATGATACATTTCAAAGTTTTTCATGTTATAATCCACATTTCATCAGTGGTCTAAAAACAAAATAAGAAAAAAAAAAAAAAAAAAAAGAAAAGAAAAGAATTTATTTAAATCAATGAACACATTTTTTTTGTCATATTTAAAATTTTTTTCAAATCTTTCGTCTGCTAGTCGTGTGTATGCGCAAATTTTCGTCATATGTTATTGTTTTTTTGCACAAAGAAACCGGTTTGTTTGTTTGTTTTTCTTTTTTTTGTTTTCTTCTTCCTTTTACAAATGAATGACAATTGTCAAAAACAAATAAGCAAATTATCAATCAGAATACATTTTATGCTTATTCCATTTTCTTTTTTTTTGTTTCTTAGTAGTTCTATATTTGCATGTCATTGCTTTTATTTCGTATGTTTCAGTTCTTTTTTCTTTTTTCTTTGGTAATTCTTGTTTATGTCAAGATCTGTCAGTATATTTTTTTTCCGTTCATAGATTTTCATGTTGCTTATGTTTGTATTTGTGCCTTGATGTTATTATACATTGGTTATTTATGATGATATGTATTTTTAAAAATTCTGTGACATTCAATTTATTTTCAATAATTTCTGAGATGGATAAATGAAAATAAGAGAAAAAGATCGTTTGAAAGTAAAAAAAAAATGATTTAATAAATGATTAGAAAGTTCTTAGACAAGATATTTATTTACTATTAGTTCGTTCAAAAGTATTTTTTCGATAAGTCAAAAACTATGAGCAAAGACAATAATTTTGCTGCTCTTTTCGAATTATGAGTTTAGAAAATTTTTTATACTTTTTATTTTCGAGTAGTAAAATAATATTTGTAATTCAAAACTAAAATTTGAAATATTGATTTATAGATTGATCATTTTTCTTAAGTATTCATTTTTGAAAAATCGACTTTTTTTTTTGACCAAAAATCTTTTCACATGAAAGAAGTTCTTGAAAAAATGCTGGTTATCTTACTTGGATGAAACCTACAGTTTACGAGAGACAACTCTCCAGGTATTGAATCGTTTTTCGATTGAGACAATATTTATTTGATGTATAGTAGAGAATAATGGAAAAGTTTAGAATGTGTTGATCTTAGAGAATTGACTTTCAACTTCAAGCTTTGCATGAACAAAGTTCTCAATGAACATCTGAGGGAATTTTAAATATTGAATATCTCAGGATAGAAGATATTAGAAAAGTTAAAACTTGTCTCATGACCTTATCTTATTGAAAATTTTGTTCATGCAAACTTTTGAAGTCGAAACCTTTACATGACTTGACAGTTTCTAATATTGAATAGGAAATTTTTAGCTTGCAAAATAAGATGTCTGTTATCATTTGAATTTTCCTACCATCACAAATTGTAATTGATAATAATATTTTCATGTGAAAACAAACTTGCTAACAGTGTTTTTGTTGTATAAATATTAATATTTATTGAGAAATTTTATTGTCTAAGAATGTGTAATGATTAAAAGATGCTTCTCCATTTCGATAGCATGGTGTTTTTCTAGTTTGTTTATTTACTTAGTTTTATTTGATTGAGTAAATAAATATATTAGGCTAATACACATATGGATCCATTTCAGCTCTCAATTATGTTCACTGCATGCTACTTTTTGAGTTTTTAGTATCATATTTTGTGATAGAGATATTGAGTTTGGGCAGCATCATACCTTTTTTGTTTGCTTTTCATTAATCATATCGGTTAATGGAATTGATGTTAGACTAAAGCTATGATTTATTTTTAGAATGTCGCTTGAAATCTAATAGTACCGAAAACTACTGACGTAACACCAAGGATGGCCTAGGCAGGGCGCCACCATACTAAAAAAAGAAAGAAAAATATAATAATTATTACCATTGACACTATATTGTGTAGATTTCCTCTGAGATCATAAGTCACTTTTCTATCATCTACAGTCTTGTGGTCATATCACTACTGAAAACTACCTCTTCAAAAATATAATGACCGTAGGTATTTTGTCAATAACTTAAGAATAGAAAGAGCTAGAGAGCTGCGATTCCTATCATTCAAAAAAGAAGATCTACATTCATCAATGTATATTGCAGTTTGATTGATTAGTAATTGATAAATCAAGTGCATTCTCATTGAAGATTTTCGAATACGATATTTTGAAGCTATTTTCCTTTTGATCTACACAAGACCGAGATTTTTAGTTTGTTCTATTCGAGAGTTATAAAACTTTCTCTGAAACTCTCGATTTCAATGAATTTTCCTGTGATCATCCAGAAAAACAATTAGATAGGAGTAATTCATCATGCTGAGTCAAATATTGATATTTGTTTTAAGGCTTGAAATGGTCTGGCACTATTATGTCAATATTTCCAAAATGTTGACTCCTTTGCTATATGGAAGCTGATCGCGAAATTTTAGAAAAACTAAGATAACATATTCAGATCATTTTGAACCTAAAAACAAATATCACTATTCGACTCATCATAGTATATTACTCCTGCTTCGCTGCCTTTCTGGGTGATCAAAGAGCAATCAGCTGGAATCGGAGATATCACACTCACACCCTCATAGTTCTCGAATGAAACTAGTGAGGGATCTCAGCGTTGTATCGATCGAAAGAGAAGCATGTTTTCTATCGACTAGTCCTATTAAAAGTCTAAAGTCAAAGAAAATAGTTTCAGAAAATCATTTTTTGAAAACCTCTATCAAGAACTCATCCGATTGATCAATTGCTGGTCAATCAAATTTCGATATACTTTGGTGGCTTCAAGTCTTCTCTCTTGAATGGTGATAACCGCAGCTTTCGATCTATTTGCGTTCTTGAGCTATTTCAAAAAATATCCATTGCTACTATATGTATGAAGGCTTTCTGAGTTCAATGTTATACAAGAAATTATCAATTATTGATTCGATCATCTCATAACAAATTTCGAGATTTATTTTGCTGAGTTTTATGAAGCTCTATTATACTCATCTTCGAACTGAATTTATTGAATATTATCGAACGTTATGTCAAGTTTTTCTCATACATTCACCATATTCCAATCGTTTCTCTGTTGTACTTGTTATCAGATGAACGAATAGTGAATATTGAAGAGTTCGATGATAGTAACTTAATTTTTGAGATGTTGCTTTTGTTTTTTTATAGGCAAACTATCATGATACATCAAATTTTGAGGAAGAATTCACAACTGAACTTCTTAAATTTACGCCTTGTGACAAACAACTTATTATGAATATTGATCAAAATGAGTTTGCATCATTTTCATATGTTAATAAGGCATTCGCGACAACACCACCGCTAACTTCCTCTAGTTTATCATAAAACAAAAAAAAACAACAATAACAAATGTTACAATATGGTCTTACAAAAAAAATTTAATTGTCATTATTAATAGTGACTAATATCAAAAGTATTTCTATATTGTATGTTTTTGATGTTTGTCAGTCTTTGTCATTTTATTTTCTCTTATAATCCTTTTGTTTTTTATTTATGCCAATTTGGATTCTTTCTTTATTCGTTTAAAACTATATTTATTTAAGATAATAAATGTGTATTCGATGTTTTATTCCCTTTAACAAATGTATTAATGAGATAACTGCTCGAGAAAAATCATAACATTCAAACATAATTTTCTACACTTTCATTGAGTTGCCATTGTAACTTTAGATATAGTAAAAAGATTGTATGCGCAGGTCAATAATTTCAGCACCTAAAAAAAAACTAAACAAAATAGTAGAAGCACGGAAGTGAAAGTCTGATGGCAGCATTTTTCTAATTTCAATCGTAGCTGACCATTGGATTTCTGTTTATAAGTTCTTACCATTCTTCTGAGTTTTTCAGCTGAAAACGGCTGATAGCTTTTAAACTTACTATTATTGTTGATTAACAAAACAAAATTTTCTAACAAATAATTTTTCATGCATCACCAGTTTTCGTAATTCTATCATTTAATACGTTGTATACAAAAACAAAATATATCACAAAAACGTAACGTGTGCAAAGTTCTACCAGTTGCTATGCAAACCTTATTTTATATATGTGTCATGTATAAAAAGAGAAATCAAGGAGACAACTCGTTTCGCTAATAATTTTCAATGTTTAAAATTAAATGTTCACGTATCCGTCAGATTCGAGATCATGCAAGCACAGGTTTGAAAAAGAACATTGAAAAGTCTAAATTTTTCCAAAAGCTTTCAAGTTTTAGAGTGCATCTGGATTGATAACAGAATAGTAACCATGAAATCTCTACCGAACTATGCTTTTAATTTGGAATCTGTCAATTTCAGACACGATATTAAAGATGATAGCGGTTCAATAGCAGAAATCGGTAGGGCAATAAGCAGGAACCGATCTAACGATTGAAACAGAGTATAGTGCTTTCTTTTTGCAACAGTTTTTTGGATGTGTGATCTATTTTTCACATCAAATTGTCTTTTTAGGTCCATGAACAAGTTATGAAACACAGACTTTTTATTTTTGTGAAACTATCTTGAAGCTTTTTGTAATGAATATTTTGATTTATGTATATGAATGAAATTGTAACTATGATTGCTTTGCAACTTCTATAAATCATTCTATCACATGAATAAAATATTAGTCGCAATAGAAGCACATCTTCAAACTATTAATTTTTAAAATAGATTAGAAGTTCCGTAAGCTTTTCTTTTGTAGAGAAGGAAGGAGGAGAGTACAACCAGAATAGAGAATAATGTTTTCAATATCTACCAGCATAATTATATTCCTTTGAAGCATAATTTATAGAGATATTCTCATTTTTCTGGTTGTTAACGATGCACATAACTAAACAATAGAATTATTTTTTCCATACAGAAACATAATTTTATTTTTACAAGCCATAATGCCTACTAATGATTTCATTTTTTCTAAAAGACTTTCGATTTTCCACAAGTGGTGTTCTTTGCAGTTTGGGAAACGTCTATGTTTTATCCGAACATCATTTTTCCACTGATCGAAAAGTTGTCCACTGCTGCCAAGGACCTAACAGGATGTAAATGTGAGTCTGGGGATATGCTAAGAAAATAATTTTTTTTTACAAAAGAGAGTAAATTGAAGAACGTTTA